GTGTGTGTGTGTGTGTGTATGTGTGTGTGTGTGTGTGTGTATCTGTGTGCGTGAGTGAGTGAGTGAGTGTGTGTGTGTATCTGTGTGTGTGTATATCACTGTGTGTGTGCATATCGGTGTGTGTGTGTGTGTGTGTGTGTGTGTTTTGTTCTTCAGGTCTGTAGTGGACTTTGCTATCCTAGGTACTACCAAAAGTCCAGAGTTTTGCGACCTTAGGGAGCGTGATGGATTGTAGCGTGGTAGAAGACTAGTTAGGTGGGGATGTCCCCACTTTTCACAAAAACAAACCTGTGTGTGTTTTGTTCTTCAGGTCTGGATCGGTTCTGCTGGTTTAATCAAACAAATCCCTGTTACGCAGCTCTGGGACACAAACTTAGTCTGCAGATGTTGAACGCTAGTGAATATAACCTGAAGATCATAAAGAGAATAAACAGCACACATGATGGTCCAGTTTGTAGAGTAAAGAATGACACAATGAGGACGAGTGAATGTGATCTTTATAATAACAGACCTGAAGTGACCGTCATGTGTGTGTGTGTGTGTTTTGTTCTTCAGGTCTGGATCGGTTCTGCAGTTTTAATCAATCAGATCCCTGTTACGCAGCTCTGGGACACAAACTCAATGTGACAATGGTGCAGGACACTAGTGAATATGACCTGAAGATCATAAAGAGAATAAACAGCACACATGATGGTCCAGCTTGTAGAGTAAAGAATGACACAATGAGGACGAGTGAATGTGATCTTTATAATAACAGACCTGAAGTGACCATCATTAATGGGACTCTGATAATAAACCGTGTGATCAGAGCAGATTCAGGGAATTACACAATAAAACTCGAGAGCTCAGACGGCACAGAAACATCTAGAGATCTTCAAGTGATTGTTGAAGGTACAGAAACTCTCTCATCAGACTCATTACAATCTCATGTTCTCCAAAGATCTCACTCTCATGCAGATCAATCAGTTGAATCTCTGTGAAGGTTTTTATTGCAGCTCATTAAATATCTGGACGAATTAAGGTCAACAGCATCTGCACTTTTCTCGGACTAAGACTATTTTCAAAATGAAATACCAACATGTTGCTTACTGTATACTGCATACCATTTTAAGTTAAGTGCTTATGGTAGAGCTGCAGCAAATGTTAATAATGACCTTTTCTTAAAGCATTTAGGGGGAGAAAATTACAAAAATGACAGACTTCTCCTGTGATGCATGTACGCTGACTGTTGGACATTTAGTAGACAAAATAATGAATTAATATAGATGAGAGTGTCATTAAAGAGACCAAAAAATCCTTTGTGTTGTAACATTTCATTTTTCTAAAGCAACTTTAGTTTTTAATGATCTGGTAGCTGTGTCCCAAGTCCATTCACCTTTATACAATACAGATTATGTCAAAGCAACTTCAACAAATTCAAATTCAACTGTAAAGTGAGTTTAAAAAGACGATAGTGTCATTATTCAAATCAGTTCAGTTCGATATTGATTCAGTTCAACTGGGTGGATGTTGCATCATCGGGTCATTTAAAGTTCACTTTTTCCTTTTGTGTTTTTCAGTGTAAACACACTACTAACACTATTTAAGCTACAGAATAGAATGCAGAATAGTGCATAAGTATACGTGAATTTGGCTGTGGCTAGCATTTTCTGTCTCAGAATGTTATATTGGAATATAAATATGTGTGAACGTGTGTAAACCAGACTAAAGGATCGATCATCTTAACTGAGGTTGCTGAGCGGAGTTCAGATGTTTCAGTGGCATCAGCTCATGTGAACCGTTTTTTTTTTTCGATAGTAGAATTCATTTTGTGAAAATATATGAAAATACTTGTCTGTAGTCCATTTTTCGGATTTAAATTCACGCTGAAATGGTCTTTTTTACATTATTATTTTTAGGATTCTTAAATATTGATACTTATTTTACAGATAAAAATGTTTTAGAGTTGATTTTGGTAGATTTCAGTGTGTGTGTGTGTGTGAGAGAGTGAGTGTGTATGTGTGTAAGTGTTATAAAAACAAAGAACCAATGAATAATAATGCATGATAAAAAAGACAGCACAGAAAAAGCTACATATTTTCATACAGAAACTCTGTCATCAGAATATTGATATTAAAATATATATTTATATTTTCATGTTTAAAAATGGCTTCTATCACTTAGCTGTTGTAATGAATGAATATTTAGAAGCTGTTTAGTGACCGTCATTAATGGGACTCTGATAATAAACCGTGTGATCAGAGCAGATTCAGGGAATTACACAATAAAACTCGATAGCTCAGACGGCACAGAAACATCTAGAGATCTTCAAGTGATTGTTGAAGGTACAGAAACTCTCTCATCAGACTCATTACAATCTCATGTTCTCCAAAGATCTCACTCTCATGCAGATTCATTATAAAAACAAAGAACCAATGATGATAATAAATGCTAAAAAGACAGCACAGAAAAAGCTACATATTTTCATACAGAAACTCTGTCATCAGAATATTGATATTAAAATATATATTTATATTTTCATGTTTAAAAATGGCTTCTATCACTTAGCTGTTGTAATGAATGAATATTTAGAAGCTGTTTTTATGTTGAGCTTTGTCTTGTGTTTTTCCTTGCACAGATCATCCAGTGGCTCTGATCGTTTTGGGAAGTCTTGCTGTAATTCTTATTGTTCTGGTCATCATCGCATATTACGTTTACAAGAAGAAGAATCAGCTCAAATGCACAAGTCAGTCTTGAGTTCATGAACCTATACAGTATTATATTATTGCCTTCATCACTTCATTCACTTATGTTTGTCCTCATTTGTAAATTAGATTGGATTAAAGCATCTGATAAATGAATATATGTAAATACAATATTATTTAATGTGCCATTCATAGACAAACTGCTTCTGTTGCTGAGGGAATAATTCGCCCAAAAACTATCATTATTTATTCCACATCTTAATTTCCAAACCTGTGTGTTGTTTTTTCCATGATGACAGAAAACATCAAATATAACATCTTACATGTTTATTTAATATTACTCTTTGATAATAGTATTAATTAGTTGGTTTTAAGTGATTGATAGCACAGATGATAACAAATCATAATTCAGATGTAAAAATGAAAATATTGCCCTGATGCCAATCAGCGACTGTCAAGATTTCTATCAACTTTTATTGAAAGAATAATAACAACTGTATAGGAATTTGACACATTTGGGAGGTCATGGTCCTTTTATAACCTTCCTAAACTTACTGACTACAGCAGCGAGTCACAGTCTGAAGTATGAGACGGTAGTGAGAGAAAAACTGATCAAAAAACATCTATAAATAGTATAAATTAAATATGCATATACATGTACAGAATAATAAAATATAACTAAATAAAGAGTATAAATTAATATGTAAGTGTGCTTATAAAATAAGTAGAATAAATTAAATACAGAATCAATAAATAAAATGTGTAAATGAGCATTTAATATAAATAGTATAGTATAAATAAATAAATATGCATATGAAATAAATGGCATAAATAAAAAAAATTAAATAAAAGGAATATAGTAAATATGCATATAGAATAATTAAAATACAGTATATAAAATAAATAGCATATATATGTATAAATTAATATGCATGCAAATAAATATGAATATATAAATACAGTAAATAAATAAAATACAGTTGAAATAAAGTATAAAATACATATGAAAATATACAAATAAAAATAAAGTTTAAGTAAATATGCAAGAAAAGACATATACGTAACTTCTTTGTCACAGGGACAAAATAATTCAATGGAATAATTCACAATATGTTTTTCTCTATAAGAAATATTGATCGGTTTATCCCCAGTTCAAGCAGATTTTAAACCGTGGTTGTAGGTCACCGCTGATTCTCAGCTTTTGTAAATCTGTAAACACATGCAATACTTCATTTACTATCAAGATTAATGCAGCAGAAAGCATCTTGTTTACAATCTCATCTGTTCATTGTGCTTCTTCTCTTTCTGCAGATGTGGAAAATGCCTCGTCAGGCCCTCAGACAAACAGGAATGAGAGGAAGGAGCAGGAGCTTCATTACGGAGAAGTGACGTTCACCGACAGAAAGGTTCAACAGCAGCCGTGTAAAACACAGGAGGAGTGTTTGTACGCTCAGGTGCAGACGCGCTAGTGTGAACACCACCACAAAACCACTTCACTGTCATGAAGACTCAACACGACAGCTTTTGGCTGCTTATGATGAAATGCTCGGCTTATTGCACATTTTCTTTCCTGTGTGGCAACAGAAAAACACAGCGTCTGATCCAGAACAGAAATATAAAAGGATGAACACTTTCCAATAAAGCCGCTGAAGGAAATCATGACTGCTGTGAACAATGAATGACTTGTACTACATAAGTCATTGTTTTTTATATAAAATATCTTTCTGTGACACACGGTACTATGCAATAAAAATACACTGCATGTACATGCTGCCTTTTCCTCCACTTTGTCGCCACCTAGTGAACAAAAAATCAAAACAAAACAAAAATGGATATTTTTTACAGACTGATGACGCGTTTCCAAAGTTATTAGCATCATAAATGTAGTAGACTTTTCATTTTATTGATTTATTTTTAATTAATGTACATTTCTAACTATATTTGTGTTACCATCAAAATTACAGTTATGTGAGTGTGGAGGAAGAGACGGCAAATTTAACACGATCAATGTCTCAATATATTTTTTTTGGAAAGCGATAGAAACGCTATTGTGGATTTATAATTTTGCAAATGGAAACATAAAAATATATACTTGTTGTACTACTACTTCTGCTTACGAAAATTAACCATAGTTTTACTACAAATACATGGAAAACCAAAAAAACATGGTTACTAGTTAAACCATGGTAACCACAAATTATCCATGGTATTTGCAGTGAAAAAACACCCCCATAGCACCCCCACAGATTTTTTCCTGGAATCAATTATAGGCCTATACATGCTAGCCTATTGTATTTAATAATTAAGATGATAATAAAAAAAGAAACAAAACAAACAAAAAAACTTTTGACTCCTTACCGACCTGATTTGCAGCTGTCGCACTTTTCGTAATGTCATTGTGAGTGCTTCCCTGTGCTAAGTAGGCCTGCCCCCGACTAATTCTAGTCAACTAGTCTCATGCTATATTAAATTTATTAATATAATAATATATTAACCATCCTTTAATATATACACTCTTAAAAATAAAGGTGCTTCAAAAGGTTCTTCAAGCGATGCCATAGAAGAACCATTTTTGGTTCCACAAAGAACCATTCAGTCAAAGGTTCTTTAAAGAAGCATCTCTTTCTTACCTTTTTATAATCTGAAGAACCTTCTTTCACCACAAAGAAGCTTTTGTGAAACAGAAAGGTTCTTCAGATGTTAAAGGTTCTTTATGGAAACATTTAGACAAAAAGTTTCTTCTATGGCATCGTGAAGCACCTTTATTTTTAAGAGTGTAGGCAGGCGTATTAGGCTATAGTCTATTTCGCGCTCAAGCTCGCGCATAAAGCAATTGCCTCAAAGCACCGGCAAAGTGATTATAAACGTGTCGGGGGAAAAGAAGACATTTTAATTATTTATTAATAAACTTGTGCTTTCTGAGTCCATGTGGGGATGGCAAGTCAGCGTCGGCATTCAGCAAATGCAACAACGCATGGAAAATGGAACATGCAAGCACTGTCACCGGCAGCAAGTTTAGTTTTACTTTTCTTTTTGTTTTCATTTTGAAAAGCTTTGCTGTTTACCTCACGTTATGCTATGGAAGCTCTCTTTTTTATTTTGTATTTTTTTTATTATTATTTGATTCATCAGTGTTTGCTAAACGTTCTGTAATTTATTGGTCATTATATAATACAGCATGGCGAATGCCATGCCTCGTCTTATTCATTTTGTTAATAAACATTTTGTAAGTTTGTCATTGTATCTTACTGTTTTATTGTTGTTGTGCTTTTTAATTAAAAATAACAATGAATCCATCTTTTGTTTTAGTCTTAAAAAGTGAAAGGTGTATATGTAACCGGTTCTACTTCGCCTCACTCCGAGTGGGATTCAAAAACCACAGTCTCCAGCGTGGGAGGTGGGCGCTCAAACAAGGAGGCTAAAGGCCACAGCCTCTAGCGTCAGTCGCTAGAGCGCCTCTTGAGATCAGGGGAGTGAGGTGTACACAGACAGCTCTTCCTAGCCTACAACAGTTACACTCACCCCCCTAACCCTCACTCCCATCCCGGGTTTCGGCACCAAATGTAACTGGTTCTACTTTGCCTCACTCCGAGCGGGATTTGAACCGTGGTCTCCGGTGTGGGAGGCGGGCACTCAAACAAGGAGGCTAAAGGCCACGGCCTCTAGTGTCAGTTGCTATCAATCGTCAAATCGAAAGTGAAAGCATCCGAAGCCCGGCTTATAACAGCAAAAGAGGAACTTAGTCGCAAAAGAGCAACCAGTGGGAAGAATGAGTCTGGAGCCCTGAATTGCCCAGCTCTCCCTGTCAATGATCTAGCACCCCCTCAGCACCTGCGTACAAAATTCTCTGGCGCCGCCCCTACATGAGAGCTACCATGCAATTAGCTAAAGTTTAGCTAAGGCAATAGGAAGTCTAGTATAGGTTAGACCAGTGCAGGTTCTTTCACTGCATGATTCAGTTTCTTAAAATGCATTTAGAATGATCACAAAATGCAACATACAGGGGCAGCAATGTATATATTTATATCATTTCATATAGTGAATCAGTATCATGCGAAGAAAGCTGCCTTGAAACTATATGCAGTGTGAAAAGCTCTATACAAATAAATGTGAATTAAATTGAATGAGTCATTGTATTGTTGGTGCTATTCTGAAGTTAAGGACCCATGAAGTTGACAAATGTGACAATACATCTAAATGAGCCATTGCATTGATGGTACACATGGAGGCGCTATATCTCAGCTGACTGAAAGTGTGTTGAAAATTTCACTTGGGGCAGGGGCGGATCTGCCACCCTAAGAAAAAGCTGTGCCACCCCAGAATTATCACAGAATAAAATATAAATGTAAACAGTGTTGCATGTGGTACTTTTCAGTCGCGGCGATGACAGAGTAACGCAAAATAATGGCAAAAACACGTCTTAATAAACTGTGCACGATGGTTGCACGTGCACGCAGTGTAGTCGGCTTCATTAACAAATGACTCGAATGAAATCTAATCCCGTCTGGAGATATCTGAGATTCATCGCGTAATTGTTTGGTGAGCCGATTCTCCGACCTCTCGCTCCACTTTCATCATGGATTATAAGCCGTAACAATAACGTGAAATCAATAAGATGGCGATCACGGAAACTAATAGCTGAGTTAGGTAAGAATCTAGTCGTATTGCAGTTTTCTTGATTGTTAACATATACTGTAACTGATTTTAGTTGGCACTTTTCCCCAAAAACCATTCAATTCAGTTTTCAAAGTTTTCGGAGGAGAATGAGCTCGTGGGGATCGCAGGTGGATCTGGCCGATGAGTTTGAAGAGGGGTTTTCCCTCTCGCAATCGTCGGCTGTGGACGAGAGTGAGCCACTCGAGGATGATGTTATTTCATTAACATTGTCTGATCATGGGGCCAGTGCTCTGCTGGGTTTGGCCCAGCAAAAACAGGAAATGTCTGAGGAGGGCAAAGAAGCTGAGGCTTAGCCTTCCCAATCCTCCTGCCCTGCGTATGATGAGGTTTTGAAAGGCTTTACTTGCCGTGAAGTGGGCGAAGAAAGTGACGTTCTGGCCATAACCCTCCAGCTCGGGTGAGCCTTCCTTTCTTCCTGTTTTCCATACAGAGATTGAGAAGGAATGGAAGAGGCCATTTTTTCTTCACGCATCCATCGATTCCAGCATACGAGTTATGCCAGCATCGAGGCGATGCGCGAAAGCGGTTATGAGAAGATGCCCCTATAGAGAGACGCTGGCCAGCTATCTCTCTATGGGTGATACGTCCTCTTTTAAGACTCCCTCCTTGACATCTCGCTTTAATGCTAGGGCATACGCAGCAGCAACAGGTCGGGCTGTCACTTCATTGCACACGATGTGATGCTCCAAGCATATCAGGCTGACCTGCTGAAAGACCTGGATAAAGGCGAGAGCTTTCTTCTCGATGCGCCGGAACCATGGTGTGTGAGTACGATCCATTTCTAAATACAGGTGCATCTCAATAAATTAGTATGTCGTGGAAAAGTTCATTTATCTTCGACGCCGAATTGGGGCAGTAATTAAAGCAAAAGGAGCCCCTACCAAGTATTGAGTACACGTGTGTATAATAACGTGTATAATCTGTGTATAATCCTTCTGCTAGCTTTCTTTGCAGTGTTTCCCGGGACTTGTGTGTTTATGTCCTTTTTCTAGGGTAGGTCCTCTGCTGGTTTCAGTAACCGAGTGCTCGACTTGCAGTGTTTATTTCACTCGTCGATATATGTCCAGACGGTAAGAAAATCCGGGTTTCGGCTTCATACTTCCTAGATTATGCGGCCAGGTCACAGGCTTCTCAAGCCTTCTTGATCATTAGGCCCCCAGCACAGCACGACACTGCAAAAAATTTCCTGGACATCCGGGCTGGGCTTATGCTTTCAGGTTGCCCTGTCTGGTCTACCGTATCTAGGTCGCCCTGAGGGGCCTCCCGATCACCAGGATATCCTCTCTTGCTGAGGCATCAAACGGGAAGTATAGCTGGCATTTGCGAGAACCTTCTTGTGTAATGCTGTCTCAGGCAGTGCTCCCCTCACCTTAGAGGGTTGTATTTGAGCTTGCCTCTCCCGTTTGGCTCAGTACTTCCGGGTATCTGTAAGCAGATGCTTGGAAAACTCTTGAATCCATACTATGGTAAGTGCACACGTATAAGCTTTGCACACTTTCTAAAAATCCACATAAGTGGTAAGTGTGCACGTTATGCTTTGCCCACTTTTCTGAAATCCTGTATGGTAAGGGTTACACGCTATTAGCCTCGTTCCCTTTCTCTGAGTTGGTTTAGACCCTGGTACCTTGGGTTCCACTCAACTAGTGTGTCTCTGTTGACACACTCTGGATGCATCACTCCCCTCACCATTGAGGGTTATTGTGCGCATGGTGCTATCTTTCGAGCATTTAATTCTCTCTGAGGAGTTGGATTCTTCGCTTCATGGGCGGTACTCATGGAAGTGCTGAGCAGTGCTCCTCTTTTATCAAAGGGTTACCTATGAGCACGCTACTCCTTCTGAATTCGGAGTTCTCCTCTCACGTCAGAGTTGAGTTCTCTATTTTTCCAAGAGCACCTGGAACCAGCAGCATCAGGCGAACTAGGCCCTTCCTCTGCCTCTCTGATGCGCTGAGTTTTTTGGCTAGCTTGCAGTACACTTACCCTTTTGATTCTAACAATTGCGCTGTAGGTCGAGCCCCCCCTCTCGCTGAGAGCTGGGTTTGTGCTCCCCCAGCTAGGTAAATTATTGCTAGCTGTTC